CTTTGAGCATTGGTTTCCTAATCTGTAAAACTGGAACAATAAAAAGCCTACATTGAAGAGCTAGAGTGAAGATGAAATGAATTAAAGCATAAAATGTATTAGAATAGTTTCTGGTCCATGGTAAGTGGCATAAAAATATTAGCTTTCATTATTATAAATGTTTGCCTTCTTGGCAACTATCCATATTGCAAACTAGGCAATCTTTGGTTACTCCAAATGTGTGAGTTGCCATCTCATCTCCTATCGGATTCAGATGGGCTTATCAGGCTTTCATAGACAGCAAACAGAGTCAGAGGTCAAAGGGCAGACTAAATAAAAAAGAGTCCAATAGGAAAAGACAAGAGCCATTTGCTGGGAATACTTGGTTTGAATACCAAATCCACAGGGCCAGAGGTAGGCTCAAAGTTTGAAGTGCAGAGAACCAGAGGTCTGGAGTCAGACAGAGACAGGGCAGAGTTCCAAGGAAGGAGAGTTCAGAGTGACAGCAGGCCAGGAATCAATGAGAGTGTGTCCAGGATGGCTGATGCAAAGCTTCCCCTCCCCACTCGACCCCATCAGGAGAGCTCTATGACAGGCCCCAGACAGGGTCTAGTATGTGCTTGCAGTGGGTGGCTGATTCTCACCACCACTTTTCTGCTCCATGACCTCTCCATGGTATTAAGTATAGAAGGAACCATTGTACCAACCAGCAGGCCACTAAAACTTTTCTGTGCTCTGGCTTCCTAGCCCACATTTTTGGGGCTGGGTGATAATATGTGCAGGTGGGTAAAGGTCTGGGTGGACTTGGCTCAGCAAGGATCAATGGAAGTCAGGATGAATATGTGGGGATAAGAATGATTAAATATGAGCTTCCATAGGGTAGATAAAGATTTGGAATATGCTAAGGATGATATCTCCAGTTGTGTGCAGTGTTGAGCGGAGCAGATGTTTCATCTCCAGTGCTGCCTCAACCCAATGGTCACTGGTGCATTTGAAGGTATTTTATACCTCTCTGTTGGCGGTCTGTGGCTTTTCTAGGTTGCCAACCACTAGGGTGTTACTGATGATCAATTAATTTGGGAATTTGGGTTAAATAATGATCTGGAAGCTATAAGAGCTAGGGAATGGTGTATGTTGGGTGGTGGAGCACTGCAGTGAATTATTATATGAGATTTTTGTGGTGGTAGGAACATTGACCAACCAAATTGTCTGTAAGCAGTGTTTACAGGCTGCCATGGAGGCAAAGTGCCCTTTGCTTGTGTTTGTAGAGCTTGAAGGACTATTTTGTAGGGCAACTTCCTATTGTCTGGTTTGTTGAATAATAAAGAATTTGGCTGGTCTTTGTCCCTTCCTTGGAGGGAGCCTCTAAATCCTTGGAATTTCCTGAGTGACAGGAGTGTCTTTGTTATTCATGGTGGGTTCCTGGATAATTTCAGGATGAGGGCTGGCCATGCTGGAAAGACCCAAGCACTCCATCATTATCGGTTGGGGGATTTGAGCCTCATGATATGAGCTTAACCTCCCAAGTTCTGGAGAGGGAAGTGGGGCTGGAGATTGCGTTCAATCATGAGGCCAGTGATTCAGTCAAACATACGTACTAAAGAAACCACACTAAAAACTCTGGACACCTGAAGCTCAGGTGAGCTTCCTAGGTTGGTAATCATACATCAATGTGCTGGGAGGGTGATGTGTCCTGAGGACATGGAAGCTTCAGGTTTCCTCCCAGATCTCCTTCTTTGTCTCTCTTCATTTGGCCAATTCTGATATGTGTCCTTTACAGTAAAACTGTAATCGTAAGTATAGTGCTTGCCTGAGTTCTGTGAGTCATTCCAGTGACTTATGGAATCTGAAGAGGTAGTGAGAATCCCCAAAAGTTTTTAGGCAGCTGGTCAAAAATGTGAGTGGCTTAGGTTACAATACAGGTTTCTAGATCAATACTAGGATAGATGAAGCCATACTAACCAAGTTAAAACATGACAAAATGAAAAGCAGGACTAAGCATGATGTGAAACTAAGCTAATTAGGAAAGAATCAGTTTCATCAGGACTTTTTATAAAGTGTTTGTAGCCTCTGGTAAATAGCTATGTGGGTTTTAAGTTCTGTGGTGTTTGTTACGTTATCATTTAATGTTTTCCCCCATATGAATATAAACTCCATGAAGGCAAGGACTTTTTGTCTGTTTTGCTCTCTGCTGAATCCTTAGCACCTAAACTGTGCCTGGCGCATAGCAGGTGCTCAATATTTGTAGAGTAAGCACGTAAATTCTTTCATAATAAAAAAAAAATACAACAATATGTTAGGAGCAGAGTTTCTTCATCTTCTCTGGTCAGGGTGCCAGTGTTTCTCTAGTTTGCCAGTGGTTCCCAAGACTGCCCCCTGGCCCATAACTTTCCTAGTGGGAATAAGTGATTTCTGTTACCTTAAAAACCCAGGTGACTCTTTTCTTTTCTGGTATGGATATGAGACTTTGAGGATTTCTGTGGTGGTGACGTTTTGGCATCACAGCCCAGGTCACATTCACTTCTTTGGAATTGTATCCTGCCCTCTGTCCTGGCTGAGGAGTGATGCATGGCAACTCTCTGCATGTCTGCTCTGGTCCCCTTTCAGTAGATCACCTTCTGTGCTTGGATATGTTCCAAATACAACAAAAACCCCACATCTATATGACTGTATAGACCAGTTACCATCTGACTGAGTCTTTTTATCTCTTAGTTCTAATATTCTAGGGAGAAAGTTTGGCTCAGCCAAGTCTATGGGTTGTTCCTCTAAGTTAGGTATAATTCTTCTTCTCCAATTTGCTGCACGTTACTGGGAGCAGGAAAGAGAGAAGAGGAGAGTTTCCTTGGAGAGGTGGCACTATATAGGATGCATCAGTTTTGATGCCATGGATCTGAGGCCAGGTACCCAGGATTGGGGTAGAGATGACCAAAACTTTCAAATTCCAGAAGAACCCACTTCTCTCCCTGAGGCTGTCAGTTATTTGGGTAGTGGTATAGATAAACAAGGAATGAACTTTTAAATTACCTGTTGAACTCTCAGGAATTGCCAGACAGTTTTGACTGTCTTAGGGACCTGCTTAGTAATTTCTGAGAGATAACCAAATGGCATGATAATGTGTTCACACCAGCTGGCCAAGTTAACATCATCTGGAAGGCATTCTTGCACTTGTCACTTGCCTTATGTGAATGAGGCTCTAGGCACTGGAAGTTGTGACATCATTGAGCCTTCCACCAATAGATCTGGTCAGCAGGAGTGGGACGTGGTCTCAGATGGTGACTGCATTGAGGCCCCAGGAGTTTTGATAGAGTGATACTCTTTTTTTCCCCTTACATTGGAGTTTATAGGCAAGAACTGAAATTCCATGGCCTAGATGCCACCAGCACTATTAAAGGACCTACACAGTTCTGGGTCAGTTGTCACTGCTCACCTCTCTGCAGTCCATTTAAGCCATGAGAGTAGGTATGTGATATAGTTTCTTTCAAATCTGGAGCTTAGAAGTAATGTAACCTCCAGAAGTTGCTGGTGAATTTCCCTGGGTGTGATGCTAGCAATGTGCTGGGGTAGGTATGATGGTAATGAACAGGGGTTGGTACTCTACTCCCACTCCCATCCTGGCCAGCTGCAAGTGTCATCTGTGAGAGTTGGAACTTTCACTCCTTGTCTCCACCTTCTACCCCAATCCCTTCCCTCACATGGGCAATAGAAGACCAAGAAAACTGAGAGCCTCAGGGAATTTTGTTCCAATATACATTTAACCAATGGTTTTCAGGGGTTGAGCCAGATGTAGGGATGCGGCATCTTTGAGGGTTCACATATTCCAAGAACTATTGGAAATTGCATCCTGCAGTGGCCAAGTTAAAGTTAAATAGGCTGAAGTTAGGCTACAAAAGCCAAATAGGGCTAGATGAGCAGAAGTGATCAAATTATGAAGATAGGCAGGCTAGAGTATAAATGAAAGTAACGTATGGGAAGGGTAGAAGCAAGCGGAAGAAAGGAAATCCGGAGGAAACCTTTGATCCAGAGTCCACATGCTTGTGGAGGCATTTTATATGGTTTCCACGGCTATTGATCCAAGTGTGCTGGAATCCCATAAAAGAGCCAAAGCAAAATGAATGTGCAGCTCCAGCATTGTTAGTATCAAGTATTTGCAATTCTACATCCTTATCAACTCACAAATCTTTTTATCCCTCTCTCGCATGCAGTTGTTTCCTATGTCTTGGAGATTCTACTCTTAAATACTTCTCAATCCATTTCTATGGTGACCAGAGTGATCTATCTAAAATGCAAATTTAAATACCTTCAATGCCTCCTCATTTCCTACAGGATTAAATACTAATATCTGAGATAGCATATAAGTTAGTTTTTCACTTAAGTACCTTCACTGCCTCCGTATTTCCTACAGGTTAAAATAGTAATGTCTGAGATAGATATAAGACTATTTATGATCTTGCCCCTGTTTGTTTCTCCATCCTCATCTCTCACCACTTCCCCTCTCTCTCTAGCCACAATGGCATTGGTATTTCCTGGAACATGCCATTCTGCTACATTCCTTCATGACTTAGTTCCTCTGGATATTGTCTGGAATGTTCTAGTCTTGTCTATCTGGCAAATTCCTACTAGTCCTCTAGGACTTTCTGCCTCTCTCAATTCTTTTCTGACTTACCAAGGCAGAGTCAAACACCCTTCTTCACAGACTTCCTCAATTTTAGTACATACTGCAGTGAATTGTAACGATTTGAAGATCTGTTTCTAGGGAGCATGGACTATGTCTAATATCTGTGTCTTCTGAGCTTTCTGAGCCTGGCACGGTGCCTCACACGTAGAAGGTCTCAAATTGTCTTTGAATAGGGAATTAAAATGCTTTGTTTAAAAGGAGGAGGAATTTGTCAACCAGTTCATGTTGTTGATCATCTTTTGGATTCAAGATTTGATGTCTGAAGTATGTGATATTGATTCTTTCATTAGTTCAACACGTATTTATAGAACATCCACCCTGAGCCAGGCATGGGAATACAATGATGAAGAAAAATAGATATGCTCTTTACTGCTCTCAGGGAGTTGAAGATTTATTGGAGGAAACTGTTATTGAATTTTTTTGAATTATTAAATAAAATAGAATATATTTTTGTTTGGCCCATGATGTCAGTCTGAGACTTTTCCTAACATGAGGCTTTCTGTGGGATGGGGTCAAATCCTGTGCCTGTTGGACTACTTGGGCTTTATGCATGCTGCAAGTTTGTCTCTAGTTGTTCAACATAGAAAACCATTTTGGCTGATAAAAAATTAAAAGAACAAACATTTAAAATAGTTGAACAACTTGTTTTAATCCAAGCAAAACTTTGTCTTCAGAAATCTGTTGTGGGTTGGGATACATCAGTGACTTTACAGTTTACCAGGTGCTTTTGCATGTATAGTGGTATTTGGCTTTGCTTGTAGGAAATCCAAAAAGTATAGGGGAAGCATTCAAGAATCAACAAAACAGGATCACTTTCTTAGGCTGGAATGACTGTCTTTATGCAATGAGATGTTATCAATATATACCCAAGCAAATAAAGGTTCTAGACCCCCTGCTGAAAGCCAGTAAGACATAAACTTCCAACTCAGGCAGTGGAACAGGAGGAATGATAGTGCTGGCAGGTCTTGGCATTTTGAAAATGGAAAAGGAAACAAAACAAAAAGTATCATTCCTCTTGTGAAAATCAGATACGAGAAAGTTCGAACAAACTGAAACCAGGTTCCTACAGGTTCCTATTAACCTGACATTTCCCTGAGGGTTGAGTTCTGTTTCCTCCTCCGTTGGGGTTAACTATAAACAAGGACAGACTTGGAGTCAAGGTGACCAGTGACATATAATTAATTAGCTCCCTTCAAAGGCATGACAGCCAGCATTACAGGGGAGAGGCATTCTGTTTTAAATGTTGCTTAAAACAAGTTTATCTTTCTTAAATTTGGTTATGCTGGTTTCCCTCCAGCTGAGGAGCTGGTATCTAACTAGGAACTGCTGCAGAACAGAGAAGCAACATTCTTCCTTTTAGGTGGCATGCTGCCGTGGCAGAGACATGCTGCCACAAGGGTTAAACTTTAAAACCTTCATTTTGATATATAAAGAGATTACAAACAAAGCACACGGCAAAGTAAAGTTGCAATTTCAGCTTGCGTCCAAAGTAGTCAACAATCTCCTAAATTGTAGGTAAAGTTATTTTGCTTAATTAGGAGCTTAAAATAAAATCAAGTTTTATAAAAGTTATAGTATTATGTAACAATTAGTCTACTAATATTTTTCCCCCTTTCTGAGGGTCTCAAGAGAAAAACGAGTTTTCTTGATGATCTTTTTAAAATAAAAATCGCAGCCCAGATGGAGGTTTCAAGGTTCCTTCTGAGATTTAGAGAAGGAAGGAAGGAAATGGAAGGGGGTAAAATTACAGATTATCTCATACCTTTTCCCAGTTCTAAATTGAAACCTACTTTGGCCTTCCCATGGACCAGTTTTCCAAAAAAGAGTTTGAGCTTTGCCTAAGAAGCCTCTGGAGCCATTGTCCTGTCCATTTAAATGCAACCCCAGAAAGGCTAGTATAGTGATAACATTTCATGCTTAAACTTGAGTGTAAAATAACTGGATACAAAACGTTGGGTTCTCTATCTCAACGGCAGCAAATATCTATGTACAAATGGGCATTGCTTTTCTCAAAACTGGACTCTGTCCATTTCCTGAATTAACTTTAGAGTTGTGGTCTGGCTACTTGTCTTAGATGGGCAGAACTGCAACTGTGACGAGGAAAGGAGTTCTTGCACTGGTTAGGTGGCCAGGTTCCCAAGGGGATCATTCCAGCTCCAGAAAGGCGAGCAGGTCATCCCCAGTCCTCGCTGAAGAAGGAAGGCAGTCACTGCCCAGCTCTCTGCCACCTGCGACTGTGGACTTGACTGTCCCCATCAGACCTTCAAAGGATCTGAATGTGGCCGACTTCTTGACGTCTGCAAGCTTCCTGCAGACGGCAGAGCCCATGGCGAACAGGGCAGCTGACGTCTTTTCTTTCACGTAGGCGTTGGAGACCTGAACGTCGTGCCAGCTCTTGGACAGATTCCGCCTCAGCCCCACCGAGGCCGTGAGGCCCAGCTTGCTCTTGAGCTCCACGCAGCGTCTCTCTTTGGCGGCCAGCGCCTGGCGCAGGGCGACAATCTCCACCTCCAATTTCGTGAGCTGGGATATGAGCTCCTTCTGCTGGGCCTCTGTGAGAGCCACTGGCTGGGCAGTCGGGTGGGATTCGTATGTGTCCTCGGAGGTCTCTGGCATGGACTGAGGAAAAAGATCTTCGTTAAGAGAGTCTAGGTCCAATTCTTGGTAGAGAGAGTCGAACTGGTGGCCAGTGGAGAAATCATCTCGGCCAGCAGAGTGGAAATCTAGGCCTGCGGGGTCAGACTCTCGGCCGGTGGGGTGGGACTCCAGGCGGGACGGATCCATAGCTCGGTCAGTGGAGTGGCCGCCTAGGCGGTGGGTGAACGTCTTGGCGTCTGGAGCGGACGCGGCCGCCCGCGAGGTCCACTTCCGGGTGTGTGGTGGAGGGGGTTGGGGGTGGCGGGGCTCCAGCCGGGGCAGGGTCGCAGAGGCGGGACTTCCGGTCGGAAGGTGGCCGCTGTCAGAGCCGGCTCGACCGGCTGCCAGTACCCTGGTGGAGGTGTGTTGAGTTCACAGCGACCCTGTGAGGTAGGCGGTGCTGCGATTATCATCAGAGAGGAAAGGTATCTTCACCTTCCCTGCTGTCACAGTGAGTGACAGGTCCCGGCCTTCAACCAAGTCTGATTCCTCTTAAGGACATCCTTCTACCACACCAGCCATTTCAAACCCTTGAACCCTTTGTATCAACAGAAATTTACGGAAAAGCCTTATACATAAAGAAAAACTGCGCCAAAGTAGGGCAGGGAGTCGAGCACTTCTGGCCTCGTACCCGCCCCCTCTTCCCTTCCCAGGTTCCCCACGGGGCCTCGAGAAACTCCTAGCACCACTCATACAGTGGATGTGAAGGCCTGTCAGAACTCGAGTCCAGTGGTGACTAACATGCTCCCATGGCGTGAAGTCTCTACAGTGCCACAGGCTTGGGACAGCCGAGCTCAGCGAGTCTGACCAGTCACACCTGTCAGTTATTTTGGGAGAAGAATGAGTAAATCTATGACAGTTGTGTTAAATTTATGCTTCATAAAGCAAGGACTATTGTACTGTGAGAATTTAGGAGAGAAGGAATAAGACATATGCAAATGGACGGGACATGGGTTTTCAATATTGTAGATGCATTTTCTTTCTTTTCCAAGCATTTACTCACATTTCTGAAGGCATGTCTGCCCACCTACAGGGTTATGAGTTGTGGGAGGTGATCTGCACAGTAAAGTGGAAGCAGTTGGACAGTGTCTGTCAGGAGGTCAACCCACCGTATCCTCTATTTCTATTCAGAGCTTGTAATTTATACAGTGGAAGAGTCAGGACTTCAATCCAGTGAGGGCAGGTGGTCAGGTGTCACTTAGCTCATTGTCTGGCTGCCCATTCCCAGGGAATAGCCTTGAGCAATTCTGAGCTTCCAGTGATTTTGTTGGATATGCTGGTAGTTCTTGCAAGGATGATCTCGTGGAACATGGTATGATCCTCAGCAAATTTCAGCAAATTGCCATACTCATGTAGCTGCCATGAAGCATCTAGCTGGGCATCCGAACCAACTCCAGCCCTCCTTTGGGTTTATATTCAATAACCCTTTCCCATAAGTCAGTAGTGTCTATTCATCTTGTCCTGAAGCATGTGCCTCCCTAGATTCAAAAAATGAAAACTGTTCTTGTTGGAAACCTGAGGGCTGTTGAGGGGTTTGGCTATGTATGTAAAGGCCTGAAAGGGCAGCAAGGACTGCCTAAAAACTATTTTGTTCCAGAGAGTGGACTTTTCCTCCATTGCCTGCAGAACCACTAGCGGTTTCAGAAATGCTCTGACTCTGCACCAGAAATCCTCTTTCAAAACTGAAGATGGAGGGTAAAGAAGCCTCTGATTTAATAAGCTACATAACACGAGATACATATTGTTCATTCAAAATTGAGATTCCAAATCACCAGATTTGAACTTGCACTTGATTTTCCTTCTCTGAGTTGTTTCAGCCACCAACCAAACTATTTTCTTGTTTCTATGTTTCATTGCCCTTCAATTCAAAGTGTGAAATCCTTTGTTAAGCTTTTTTAAAGATTTTATTTCTCCTTCTTCTCCCCAAAGCCACCCGGTACATAGTTGTATATATTTCTTCTAGTTGTGGGTCCTTCTAGTTGTGGCGTGTGAGATGTGGCTTCAGCATGGCTTGATGAGTGGTGCCATGTCTGCACCCAGGATCTGAACCCGCGAAATCCTGGGCTGCTGAAGCGGAGCATGTGAACTTAAAGACTTGGCAACAGGGCCAACTCCTCTTTGTTAAGCTTTGATTCCCTTTGGTAGACTAATGATTTCCCTCGTAGCAAAATTAACCTGACTTCTCTCAGCAGCTTTGTTTCAAGATCCCAAATCAAAACATGGCCTCTGGAAGGGGACCTCCTAGCTAGCGATGATGTTCTGACCTCCTGAGTAGACCTGGACAATAAGTAGCACAATGGAACAGTCCATTTTATTAGGCTTATGCATAACCACATACAAAACAACACATATTTTGAAAACATGGATCTATCAAATAAAATTTAATTTATAGTGATTCTAACCAACTGTTTGACTAAACTATCCTTTTTTAAAATTTGAGTTCATAATAGTTTAACAGCATTGTGAAAATTCAGTTGTACATTGTTTCTTGTCTATCACCACATAGGTGCTTCCCTTCATCCCTTGTGCCCACCCTCACCCCCCTTCCCCTGGTAACCACTGATCTGTTTTCTTTGCCCACATGCTTGTTTATATTCCACATATGAGTGAAATCATCTGATATTTGCCTCTCTCAGTCTGGCTCATTTTGTTAAACATAATTCCCTCCAGGTCTTTCTATGTTGTTGCAAATAGTATGAATTTGTCTTTTTTTCTGGCTGAGTAGTATTCCATAGTATATATATACCACATCTTCTTTATCCAATCATCATTCAGTGGGCACTCGGATAGTTTCCACGTCTTGGCTATTGTGCATAGTGCTGTGATGAGCATAGGGGTACATATGTGACTTTGGATTGTTGATTTCAAGTTGTTTGGGTAGATACCCAGTTGTGGGGTATCTTGGTCATATGGTAGTTCTATTTTTAGTTTTTTGAGGAATCTCCATACTGTTTTCCATAGTAGCCACTATGCAAACACCAGTTTGCATTCCCACCAGCAGTGTATGAGGGTTCCCTTCTCTCCACACCCTACCCAACGCTTTTTATTTTTAGTCTTAGTGGTTATAGCCATTTTAACAGGCATAAGGTGGTATCTTAGTGTAGTTTTGATTTGCATTTCCCTGATGATTATTGACGTTGAACATCTTTTCATGTGTTTGTTGGCCATCTGTATATCTTTGGAAAAATATCTGTTCATCTCCTCTGCCCATTTTTTGATTGGGTTGTTTGTTTTTTTTATTGTTCCTTGTATATTATGGAGATTAACCCCTTGTCAGATAGATGATTTGAAAATATTTTATCCCAATTGGTGGGTTGACTCTTTGTTTTGTATCTAGTTTCTTTTGCCTTGCAGAAGCTCTTTATTCTGACGAATTCCCACTTGTCTATGTTTTCTTTTGTTCCCCTTGTCTGAGAGGACGTGGTATTTGAAAAGATCCTTTTTAGTTCGATGTCAAAGAGTGTACTTCCAATATTCTTTTCCAGGAGTTTTATAGTTTCAGGACGTATCTTCAAGTCTTTGATCCATTTTGAGTTTATTTTTGTGTATTGCGTGAGATAGTGGTCTACCTTCATTCTTTTGCATGTGGCTGTCCAGTTATCCCAACACCGTTTATTGAAGAGACTATCTTTTCTCCAGTGTATGTTCTTGACACCCTTGTCAAAGATTAGCTGTCCGTAGATGTGTGGTTTTATTTCTGGGCTTTCAGTTCTGTTCCATTGATCTGGGTCCCTGTTTTTGTACTAGTACCATGCTGTTTTGGTCACTATGGCTTTGTAATACATTTTGAAGTGAGGGATTGTGGTACCTCCAGTTTTGTTCTTTTTTCTCAGGATTGCCTTAGCAGTTCGGGGTCTTTGATTGCTGCATATGAATTTTAGGAGTCTTTGCTCTATTTCTGTGAAGAATGTCATTGGGATTCTGATAGGGATTGCGTTGAATCTGTAGATTGCTTTGGGTAGTATGGACATTTTAACTATGTTTATTCTTCCAATCCATGAGCATGGAATCTCTTTCTATCTCTTTATGTCATTATCAACTTCTCTCAGTAATGTCTTATAGTTTTCATTGTATAAGTCCTTCACCTCCTTGGTTAAATTTATTCCTAGGTACTTTATTCTTTTAGTTGCGACTGCAAAATGGAATTGTATTTTTGAGTTCTCTTTCTGTAAGTCTGTTATTGGAGTATAGAAAAGCAACTGGGTCTTGTCAAGATGGCGGCGTAAGCAGACTCTGAACTCATCTCCTCCCATGAACACAACCAGGTTACAACTAGTTTTGGAAAAATTACCCTGGATTGAAAACTGAAAACTGGATAGAAAGAACCCCCACAACACGGGACAGTCCTGACTAAGGCAGAAGAGGCAGAAATTCCTGCTGGAGAGGAAAAAAAGCCACTTTGGGAGCAGCGGAGCTTCTCAGCTGGCCAGGCGGGAGCCACCCTAAGGTATGCAGCCCTCCCTGGAGGAGCGAGGTCTGGAGCGGGGGCCAATACAGCTATAAGCATCTTTCAGACTCAGCCCAACTTAAATGGGGGTCTTACTGTGTGGCTTTGCTGGCTATTAACTGTAGTGATGATACCCCCAGAAAAGCTATTGGCTAAAAGCTGAAAAGACTCGGGTCTTAAGGGGCCCAGGCACAAACTCACTCATTGCAGCAACCTAAAATCACCAGAGAGAAGGCTGACAGTCCTTTGGTAAAACGAGACTCATGTGGTGGGCTCTGGGGGCATCTTGGTGAGAGGAGGCACCTCTCTGGAGACTAAGACATTGGTGAGGGCCATTGTTCTGAACTGGTCCAGGCGTGCTGACACAGACCCTGGTGGGCGCCACTGAGGTTCATCCCTTGGCCTGTTAGCCCAGGGGTCCACCATGCCCACTAGAGCACAGATTTAATCCAGTACAGCCAGGGCAGGCAACTCGCCCTAGGGACTGGCCCCACCTAACAGCAAGCCCTCAGGCTAGTTTTCAGCCTGCATTGACTGGGTGCCTTGATCCTCTTCAGGTAGGCAAGGGTGTCTGCCTCTGTGGGGCAGGGCGTGTGTGAGGACGAGGTGAACTGTGGGGGGCATTGGTAGAGACGTCAGGGCCTCTGCAGTGTGGCATTGGGGTACACTCCAGGGGGTTGAGAAGTTTTCAGGGACCAGGACTGTGTTGACGGTGTGTGTGGTCCTGTGGGGGGTGAAGCTTATCAGTGGCAGAAGATCTGTGCTTCACAAATAGCCATAAAAAGGACAAGCCCCACCTTCCAAAGTCTGAAATAATTGAGTGCTCCCATGCCTAGGGCCAGCCATACTCAGCTGCACTCCTAAGAGAACTGACAACAGCCTTGTGGGCCTGAAGGCCTATTGCAACTGTAAGCTCCTGAAACTAGCAACCAGCTACACTGGG